CAAATAGAAGAGGGAGGCCACATTAACAGGCAGCTAAGTTAAACAGGATGCAGAAAAAAATATCATACATTCAAACTGAACCGAAATAGTGAAACATAACATCAACAAAACAGTAAACTGAAGCAGAATTATCATTATGTTTTACCGTATACCCAATGTTGCAAGTTACATAGAAAGGCACAAATGTTAACTTAGACGATGGGTGGATATTACATGAACACAAACACTTTTGGTCCAATTGGAACACTGTATTTTAAATGTTTAGATGATTAAAAAGCAAGACTTTTAATATTTTTTTCCCTCCCCAGACAACCTGAAGAAATATGTTAAAATAAACCCTTAGAAAACCCTTTGGACAATTCCATGAAAGTTATAAAAAAAAAAAACTTTAACCTTCGCAGTTTCAGTACAGTTGACATTTGCCTGAATTTAACGTTAAATTTGGACATAACATTCAAACACTTTGGGGATTCTTACAATAGCAACTTTTTTTTTTACATTATGGTGTATATACCAAATTATCATATGTTGCAAAATCATAAATTAGAAAAATAAATAAGTAAAAATAGCCACAAGGTTTATTAGAAACTTTTAAACTACAAAAGATTTAACAGTTTTAGTAAAATATAGGCACCATCTATATGGTCTTTAATAAAACTTTTTATAACGTATCAATTTTTGCAGCACCACATTTAACTGAAGGTTATTGCTACACTCAGCTAATAGTGAGCTAGCTTAGCTGTTCAGCTTCTATCTCACACAAAAGTTTTACTCTCAAGTAAATTAAAGGATGTGAGTCTGTTGAAATGTTGTTCATGAACTACATGGCATCAAATTAGCATTTGAAACACTTTTAAATGAAAATGTCCAGCACAAAATAATTTATTGAGTTGTTCCAAAGTGAAATCTTTCACAATCAGAACTCAACCATTAGCCGCTAGCACGGATTGGGTTCCAACCGTTGGTCACGTGGCTTGTTTCCGGTGCCTGTTAGCTGTGCAGGAGCGGTGCTCTTGAACAGAGCTTTTATTTTCACTCGCGGGTAACTCTTCACTCGTTTAAGACTGCATCTCAGTTTTGTTGTGTTTCAGTTATCTGATAGGCTTTCTATTTGTTATCCATAGTTGCTACATCTTTTATTATCTGTTAGGGTTTGTTGCAAATCTTTGCTCCTTTCAGACTGCCTCTGATCTGCAGCCTCGTAGCAGACAGACTCCACACACAGAATGTCGCGCGGGTAAGTGTGAGAATAGTAATCTGTGTTGATATACACTGTTGTGGAGCAAAATGTGTGGTTATGAGCTTACACGTGCATTGTTATGACACTTCCGTTTGTTCACTGGTAACTAGAAGATGTTATTTTTTTTTTTTTTGACAAAGAGCCCGAATGTTTCTGGTTTTCTCCCACCAAAGCCCATCCAGTGGTGCTCTGTTGTGTCACGGTAGAAAACTGTCTTTGTTGAAAACGGATGTCTTCCAAATTCTATTCTCAATACAAATGAATATAACCATAATAACTCATTGAGGCGTACTATATTTAAAAGCCAATACAATGCTATCTTAAACGCATTATTTCGGTTAATATTTCTAGTAGCTTGTTGGCTAATTGCAGTTACATACACCCGCCGCTTGGGGTGCTCAACTTTTTCAGCTAACGTCGCTACAAATTATCGCCGTGTCATTTTAGCAGAGAATTAGAGTGACCGTTAATTTTACTGTTGGCACGGCTTATTAGCGGTATGTAGTTATTCGTTTTCTTTTTAATGTCGAAGCCTGTAATTACATATATTTTATATTTTTACTCTGCTAATTATTAGCTGCCCTTTTTAAAGGCAAGTTTCTAAATAGGAATAATTATAAACTACCTTCGCATAGAAATGTGAATTTGTGAAGCAGGAGTTAAATATTTTACTGAGGGTTGTTGGAGGTTTTCGTTTGCTAATCCCAGTCCAACGTATCTGCTAGTTTGTAACTTAGTAGCTACGTAAAAAAAAAAAAAAAAGGTTGTAATGATATTAATAATCCAATTGTATATTTTCTCACCTGTTTCTAATGCACTACAGTTTTTATAGTTAGTTGAAAGGGTTGACTAATAATATAAACATAAAAAAGTCAGATTCAACCCATATACTTAATGGCAACCTTTCCACTGGTAGAAACAAAGCCACGCAGTCACATTTCAGACAGAAAGTTAAAACCAGATACTGGGGAACTATTTAAAATCATGTGTTTTTCAAGGGAAGATGAAAAGTCCACACTGGGGGTATGAACCCAGGGATAGGCAGTATGAGACATTTTGTAAAATACTTTTTTATGCAGTTGGGGACACGTTAAAGTGACATTGTGTTATTTCTGAACTAAGTATAAGTTAATTTGAGGTAGAATCAATAATTATTTCAGATCATTATAAATCATTAGGTGTGTATTGATGCTCTGTGCCAGCATCCCTTCTAAAAACTCTCCTATGTAACTTGAGAGGGTCGGATCCGTCACTAAATGAGTCCTGTGTCTCAGAGCTCCCATACGACATGATAGCTAACTAGACTAAGTCATTTTAAGCAGACATAAAGGATATACTTGCCTGATTAGACATATTTTGGTGATGATCTAGAGGGGTTAATAGGTTCATGTCTTTACAAGAGACCCCATACCTTCTCAATCTGCTGGTCTGAAGAGATCTGCTATTAGATTCCAACGCACAGAGGGAGACTGTTTAATTCCACTATAGTGCTGCTGTGTTACCAGTTGTTTTCAGAAACATTAAACCTGGAACCTGCTCGTATAGCGTGTCAG